AAGACTTCCTCGCGAGCCTACATGATACCAAGCTAGACTACCAACCATTAATTGATATTTTCCTCCCGACTACCAATGACAACAAAAAAGACATTCCAGTGCACCCCTGCTTTAAACGCATTTGGAATTACTGAAGGTGTATGCACACACTTCCACCTCCTTCACACTGGGACTTGCCGAGGAGCCTCACTCACCTCTAAAAACAGGTCCAATTAAGTGAAAATGATCATCGTCGGTCACAACAGACGAGCTAGCACAGGCATTTATGAGGATACAGTTTATATAATTAATTAAACACATTATTAAGCTGAAAACAGTAGCCCGCTTGGTAAAACCAGGGGGTAAGCTATCTGTGGACACAGAAACACTCACCACTTAGATGCGTTTATAGTTCTGATGACCAAGCTGTCTTATATGGGTTAACATACTGGCAACCGGTTCATGATTCCTGCAGTTAACTCGCAAAAAAACCACCAAAGTAAAATCCCTTTTACAATTAGTTACGGTGCTTGTATCAATTAGGCCAGTCGTCACTTCGTAGGAAAATATGTATTTTTGTAATGCAGTGTTTTGAAGAACAGAGTAATTTAGCGTTAAAGAACTCCAGCAGTGCATGCGTGGTTTGAGATCCAAGGAGGGCGGACAGATCACCAGAATAGTGTCTCTGCTCATACAAAGTTCCGCTAAAAATGACTTGATATTTCGCCTCGGATTTACATTTAAAAGTCGAGCAGATCTACAGCACATTGCATGTATGAGCGCAGTGAAAAGAAATCAACGAGCATTAACACTGTTTTGGGTGTCAGCGAGGAACCAAGTAAAATCGACTCCATTTCTGAATTGCGACACATTCTTTTTTTATCGTAAAACTGTGTATGACGGGAAAACCTTTTCAAGAAACAACCGCAAGGGGCTGAAGACCTTGACCTTACGGAACCTGGGTGAAAAACGTATTCCCCGGGATGGCAGCAGGCCACTCGGCATAAGGTCAGGCTCTACGAATACAAGTGTAGCAAGCGATGTGACCCGACCACGGCAGAAAATGTTTAAAAAAGGTGCATGTTAGACAGGAAAGGGAAGATCAAAAAACGAGAGTACGCACCGGTCACCTCGTGCCAATTGACAGGCACCTCGCAGACCTCCACACCAAGACGCCGCGCCAGGTAGAGGATGTCCACATCGAAAGCCCAACGCTCCACATGCTGGTTGCGGAAGAG